GTGTGATTTAAAGGGAACATTAAAGACTTATGTACTCACAGTATCAGCTTATTATAAAGATGAATATGTGCTTAATTCAAATATAATATTGATAAATATCAATAACCTAATATACGCTAACACACACCATACTACTGTTTGTAAAGTAATTCCTTTCATTTTATGTAACTACTACCATCTAATGGTTATATTGCAGTATTGCAACACCATTGTAGTTTTTACACCCTACTTGAAGTAAAAATGGTTTGGGCAGGCAAACGTTCACATGCCTATAAATTTGTATCTGTGTCTCCACAGATTACGAGTAGCGAGTGCAAAAGTATGAATCAAGCAAATTGCTGTGTACTACTAAGCAACCAGAATACTTCTGTCAGTTACTAAAACTGTGATTTTCATCTACTGCCTAATCCCTGCAAGCCTTCAAGCCTCAGAGGGACTTAGGGCTGACCCTGTTAATTTTTTAGGTTTGTAATTCTTATTTATATCATTGCTTCACTACTACAAGTTATGGATCTGGGTCAAGTCAGGTATCTTCACAATTCTCTGGCTGCATCGTTGTCTGGGTCAGTGACTTTCTAAAAGGAGTGAAGCAAGTCCGGGATACTTTCTAAAAGGAGGGAAGCAAGTCCGGGATCTTAATATAATCATAAAACAGTCGACAATGGCAGTTTCCCTATCTCTATAAATCCCAATAAAAAAGTACACTTGAATTTAAACATGGGCATATTCTATTTACACTGGCTCAGGGGATACAATTTCACTGTAGAATTATTCTTCTGCATCTGGCTTCACAACCAGCTAAATTCCTGCATCAACTGTTACTGATCACTTCATGTAATTCTAGTCCAAATAGAGAATTCATACCACACCCATTAAGAGATTCCTTTGGTTCATATTGAGTTTTTGAAGTTCCCACATGGGAACTTCATCCTATTGAAAGCCCTGATGAAGGGTGAGTGTTGTTGCCCCCATATAAGTTTACACTCTAAACGTCTCCCAGGTACCCTACTAAGGGAGACCCGTTGTGATGTCGGAGTTGCCTTACCAGTGCCAGTGCACTTAATTGGAAAACCATGGTACATTTGGACTTTCAAATAACTATTTCGATCCCAGCACCTCTTGGAAATATTTGGATCTAAAATTTCTACACCAGGCAACATTCTCATCTTTGCCCTGCTCCTGAGTCAGCCAGGCCAATATGTTCCATGGACTTGGCACCATTTTATTTCTGCAGGCTCACTAATACAGTAAAGCATGAGAGGTTACATAGCCCAAAATCAAGTGTCCGTACAGAGAAGGAAGGTAAGTACTACAAACTTTATTTTAAGTTTAGCAGAATGTATTTAGGTACTCTTATTTGGGGGGGAGGAGGGAGAATTGAGAAACTCCATGCTACGAATTTCTGAATGGGGCAAATCCTCTCCTTCCTTCCAGGACCAGCATTCAGCACTTGTTTCAGACACAGATGGCCTCTCAACCCTTGATGAAAACCTTTGCACAGGAAAGCTCCCATGTAGCTTCCTGTTTGCAACGCTGTGGGATATCCCTCTGCTTTAGAAACCGTTTGAACCCATTAGGCATTCATCTGTCTACGTTCACCCACATGGTGGTATTCCTTGTAGATATTGCCTCTGAAGTGAGTGGCTGAACTGTTGGTCTTGACGTGCAAGGAACCCTTTGTGGTTCTGCATAGGGGCAAGGTGGTGTTGAGGACCAGGACTTCCTTCGTGGCTAAGGTAGTTGCTATCTTTCACCTCAACCCGGACAGTGGTGGCTCACACAGTGAAAGTCTCTCGGCCAATTTGTTTTTTTTTAAAGGCAAAATTCCTTTTTGTTTGGAAGTTCAGCGAAAACTTGAGACGGTACGAGTCAGAACATCTGTGAAGTTTCTATTGTGAATTTAGGAACACTAAATTTCAGGACTCTGCAATTCCTTGTCGAGTGTCCTTGTAAGGAATAAGAATTCCCCACTAATGTCTCATCTGTGGCTTGTAATGGAATTCTGCCTCAGGAATGTCTGAGGAAAGTACTCTACATATCAGCTGGGTAAGTACAACCTACTGAAATGTTGGTATTTAAAAAGGAGACCCCACTGAGTTTTTTTTTATCCTCGGTCAGGAAATCATGCACACGATAAAATGAGGATCAGATAAACACTTGTTGAGCCTGCTATTAAAGCAGAGTGGGGCTTCTTAACATTTGAGACTAATAAAGCATATGGCAAGGAACCAACAAAAATCAATCATTCTGTACATCTATAATATATGCATGTATCCCCATGTTTCAGTCCTTTAAACAAAGTACAGAAAAATGACTGTTAAGGTGCCCATACTCCTTACAATTATCTGGAGATTTTTGTCTGCTATTACATTTTCATCTGAAAATCTGCCAGTTGACAGGGAGTGTACAACTGGCAATTTTTGTCTTTCAAGCAGGCTAGAACATTTTCATCTAGTTGGACGAACATCGACAGGTTAGTGGCGTTGTTGTACAACAATAATCTCAAGATGAAAACGGCACATGCTCAAAAGAAAATCTTTCAAATCAACAAAAATTGGCCAGTTAGTGATACTGATGAACGTTCATTGCAAACTACATCGGTCTGTGCATGATGGGCTAGCCAAACTCCAGCTGTGGTGGAACTACAAATCCCATGGAGGCATTGCAAGATTCTCACAGCCACGACTCCCAGAGTGAGATGCATCATGGGATTTCTAGTTTCACCACAGCTGTAGGGCCTGAGTTTGGCTAGCCCTGGGCTAGTTGAATGAAAATTGAACGAGGGCGAGATGTCTGGACAAAAAAAAAGTTGTACAATGGTTGCAAGGTGTATGGCCACTTTTAGACTCCATTTACAAAGGTGTTTTGTCATTCAAGGCAAGGAACCCCATTCACTAGTCTTGAGTGAAACAAAACACTCAAAACAAGGAATTCCATTCATTTCTATTCACACCTAAGCGTTAGTTTCCTATTGAAGTCTATGGTACCAAAAAGCGCTGTAAACTGCCAAAACGTGGCTTGCGTACTTTGCCAGCGACATGCGTTTTTCTGATGCGACAAAACACTCAGGTGTGAACAGGGGCTCATAGAAATGAATGGGATTTGTCGTCTTGAGTGTTTTGTTACACTAACCTGTCGGAAGTAATTAATTGCTAACAGGAAGAAAGTGTAAGGCCTAAATTTATGATCTATACATAATGTAACATGGGCATACTGGAAGCCATTTTGCTTTTCTTTATTCTGTAGGACAGAGGTGAATTTAAGTTCACGATTTAAAAGACATAAAGCATCAGTGATTCTCAGATTCTAAGACCCTTAAACATCAATTCCCAGGTTATAAATTTGGGGAATATGCAGTCTAAAAAGGTGCCCATAAACCTTACGACCATCGCAAGACTTTTGTCTTGCGATGGTCGTAAGCTTATTAAAAGCTTGTACGATCGGCCCATCTTGGACAAGGAGATCGTACTTGCGATCATCGCAAGCCCGCCCCCGAGGGGCAGGCTTCCGATGACCGCAATGCAGAACGGGCAGTGTGCGCGGTTGTGTACACGGGCAGTGTATGATTCTCGGCGGGTTTTCGAGCATGCTGGTTTGACAAAAGGCGTGCGACCATACAGTAGAAACGGTCGCACGTCTTCGCTCACTGCTCGATTCTCGTACGATCGCGGGATTTACCGCGATTCTCGTATGAGAATCGAGCAGTGTATAGGCACCTTTAGGCTTAACAAAGAACTATTCACCATTATTTTTTCTCTCCTTTTCAAGATATGAATAGGAGTTCACATTGAAGGTTATCAAGCAATATTCAATATGTGTATACTATATCAATTATTTGGTTTTACTAATTGACATAATACATTACAAATGTTTATAGTCATGACTATTGTATTATAAAGTAAGTAAGAAGGATGAAGGAGTTAAAGTAAATCACTTCATTCTCTCCTCAAATGTCCTATACGCCATTGTTTTTAAAAGTGGGTTTTTAAAGTCATATTATATAAGTAGCTAGTTATCTCTGAAATGTATGTTTTTACACTAATCTCAGGTTAAGGTCATCTCATGACATGCTCCAGAAGTTCTAAATAAAAATCCAAAATGATTCCTACACCAATTCAGCCTCTTTTTAGGTATGGGCGGGTATAATTTGGAGTAAAGTGAGATGAGCAGCGATGTCATAGTTGAAATAAGAGTATTTTCTCCTCCCACACATACCGTCGCTCGCTTACTTCTCGATCATCTATCTGCAAAAAGCTGTGACCGTCAGTCACGGCTCCCAGCAAGGTTTCCCCCCCTCCCCTGTCCGATCCTCCAGCACCGACTGGCAGAACGGACGGGGGAGTGTACAGCTGGCTCTGCCTCTATATAGGCAGAGCCAGCTGTCACTCATGCAGCTGGGTGGATCTCGACAGTAATGTAGTGATCCATCCCGGCTGCGGCGGTCTCAGTATACCGCGAGCTGTAGCTCTGTCAGCACCTTTACGGCTAGCATCCCTCAATCAGCTGATGGAAGGAGCGGGTTGGAAAATACTCGGCCAAAGCGAGCTGGCAGCCAATCAGCTGCAGGCTCTGGGCAGGTAGTCTGGCAGTGGCCAGCAGCTGCTGTCAAAATACACTATAAATAGCAGGGGATTCCTTGATCATTCATGGAGGAATCTGTTAAATTTTCTTCATTCAGCCTGCAGATTATGCGTGGCTTTCGGGGCAAGTGTGCAGATAAAGGACAAACTGAGGGACAGTTTATCTTGTGTGGGAGGAGTGCCTTGAAATGTTTAACTCTGTGTTATGACATGCAGTACTGCTCATTTAGTTTACAAATGACAATGAAATCTGCCAGCACAGTAGGGTATTGGTATGCTAGGTGAATGGGAACATGGCAGAAACCAAGTAGGTGTCATCACTCCCATTCCTAAATGAAAAACACAGGAGGCACAATACACAGTCACACAGCACTTCTAGTAGGTACTATAAACATACAAAATGACAGATTCCACAAAACATAAGAGATCCAGAATGTTTTTTTATTTTTACACATCATTTAGATCCTTGAAGGGTATAGCATCTGTAAAAGTAGAAGAAAAAAAAAAAAAGGGTCAGAAGTTTAAATCTGCCAAATGGGTATATGGTCACATAAATCAGAAATGGTGAAAACCCGTCAGTTACTTATGGATTGCTACCACTTGATCAAAACTAATAGCCCTAATTATATCCATAATGACTAAAAACAAAATCACATGACTACATGTCACATTGTTCTGTAACTGTCATAATCTGGCCATATACATCAATATTGTAGGTTTTTATTTTTCAATTACATACACAGGCATTTGCTTATTTTTGCAATTTAAACCAAAATTATGAGGGAAATTATAACTGAAATTCCAATCAGGGAGATATATGTTGCATACATTAGGTATTCGTTCAGTAAAATGGTAATTGGTAGTAGAACCTTTACGGCAGGTTCTTACCATTCCGGAAAATGGTGTGACCCTACCCTCAGTTCCAGTGCATTCCAGATCAGACAAAATTGAGACGTGCAGTATTTTTTCTGGTCTGGACTGCGCTTGTGTGAACATAGGCCAGAAAAGGCATAGGGATACATTAGGATGCATTTTGGGTCTGGAGATAATCTGGATGTGGTGTGAATGGGCCCCCAAAGTCTGTATTATCTTGAGAATTTTGCCAACAAGATAGTGCCATTAACTTCCTGTTGTGTAATTGAAGGCATATATAGCTGGAGGCGTGATTGCACATAACACAAATATAGGTGCCATGCATTGCCAGAAAAGTTGTATATAATTATGTCAAAGTTCATTCCAGCACTTTGTTCTTTTCAGAAGTGGAGGGGCTCCATGGATTGGTAATGTTATATTCATCTAGTTTATCATCTGTAATATTTCTATACTGCACCCAAGCCAAGTACATTTCTTCATTATACTACTTGTGAGTTGTTGGAATCATTCCACTACACCCACAAATCTGAAAGATGAAATACACGAACTTATTAAATAAGTGTAACAGAGTTTAAAAACCCTTTGTTCTGCAAACGAAGGATGGTAAACTACATTATGCAATCACCTCTACTTGACAGCTATATTCTCACTTTTGTTTTCACCCAGTACATATTCAGAGCAAAACACCATTTACACTCAATATGATTTGCCCTCTTATAACAGCTTCTATCTTAACAGTTTTCAGGGAGCTGTAAGCAGGTATTATAGGAGCACACGCTAAGCCATGAACAGTCCAAAAACTCACCACACGTATTCTTTGTCCAATTGCTTTGGCAGGCAGGTTGGAACGGAACTTAGCACGGACCATGCCACTGTTGCCATGAGCTCTTATCACCTTCCCCCAGATCACACGAGTTTTATTAGGCTTACCGCCTGGGGTCACCGTGTTACTAAAAAAGAAGAACAAGTGGTAATCAGCTTATGTAGCAATAATAAAAAGAAACCTACATTTGAATCATTTAGAAAGCAAACTGGCTTTATTACTTGCATAGCTTTATCATTCACCTCTATAGTCATACTAAGGGGCGATGCACACCTAGGCGATTTGTCACATGATATCGCGTAAAACAGATTCACATTGAAGTCTATGGAGGCTACTCACACCTTTGCGGTTTGTGGCGCAAAAAGGTGGTCGCTATTTTCGAGCGGTTGTCACGCGGTTTGGGTCCCATAGACGTCTATGCATTGAAAATCGCGCGGTTTACAATGAACAGTAAATGTTCATTGTACAGTCCGTCTGAGACCGTACAATGAACAGTCACGTGATCGAAAACGCGCGAAAACTGCTCGTCATTTGCATCGCCTAGTTGTGAACCTAACCTGAAGCAAAGGTGTGCAGCTATTTCATGTCTACAAGAATCCCATTGAACCTTATGAGGGAAATGCTAGTTGTCTAGCTTCAATACTATGAATCAAAACAATTACGCAGATCAGAAAGCTGGAGAAAAGTCAGAAGTCCTATTCTGTGTACATGACTCACAGCTAGGAAACTTGTATGTTCAGATGTCCGCAATGGCAGCCACCAAGTATCTTTGATTTCTCAGGTTTGATCAGTGCAATTACATAGTAACTAAGCTGATGGATTGCAGACAAAATTGTCTGTTTTGTGAAACATCCTACCAGTATGAACTGTACATCATCTTTCCCTGGCACTGCATTAGGCTTCATTCCACTTGTGTTTTTGTCCTCGATAAACAGGAAATCTGATGGGCTCAATGCTGTTTATGCTTCTAGATCAGGGGGTCTCAATGTACCGGCCCGTGAGCCGGTACTATGTGGCCCACAGCCAGCTGACAACTTGCGGGAGCAGGTACACGGTCTGCATCTCTGTCGATTGCAGACCGCAGGGGGCTTGGGAGGGAGGAGAGTTTAATATGTGCTCTGGGGGCTTGGGAGGGATTGCGGGGGGTTCGCTATATTTCAGGTGTGATTACGAATTCCTGTGACGCAAACTTGTGTTTTCCTGCAGCAGGAATTCCCAATCTGGCTTTTAAATGCAGCAACTGTCACCAATTCAATTTAATGAATAGATGACACCCGGTGCATGTACACGCCTGCATACTGCATGTAATCGTATGGCAGTTACAAAAACAATGTGATTGATTCCAGACTGCATGTAATCCTTTCACATATGATTACATGCGGTGTGCATGCATTTAGATGCAGCAGCTGTCACGCGATTAATTTGAATCGGTGACCGTTGCTGCTTGTAACATGTGCATATGCATGGTACCGTATATAGTAGCGGCCCCCACAGGACTAAAAAATTTGTCCAGTGGCCCGACTAAAATCGAGTTTGAGACACCTGTTCTAGATGCTTTAAATGACGCGCATTTACATGCATCTGGTACCAAATCCTAACCAAAAAAAACAACAAGTTTACATGCGTTTTGGTGCATTTAGAAGTTAAAATCTGTTCCTAGATGCATCTGACTTCTATGTTCTGAAAACGCAGATAAAACCATCTAGATGCATGGTGTGAATACACCTATTGAAATTCATTAGATGCATATATGTTTAGTAAAGCTTTTTGAACGCATATAAAAGCATTTAATCGTACATAGTGTGAACGAGCCGTAGTCTTGTCTTATTAGGCAGTGCTAGTAATTAGGTCTACACAAATGTGTACCGTTCATGTGAAACATTAAAATGTATACTTTACAAAATAACCAGGTGCACCTCTGTGCCCCCCTTCACACTTGTAACAAACTTTAGTGGTATTTAGTGTGAAGAAACTCTTATTTAAAGACTGCAAAACCTCCTTTACAAAGATCCTTATTGCCCCCTTCCCACTAAGTGATGCAAGAACGCACGTTTACATTTTTGCTGCCATTTCGTTCATTCCAATGGGCTGCCGCACATGTGACAGAGAAGCTCATGCTTTCCATGTATTTTGACCATGCATCTGACACGCACTGCAAGTGCGCTGTGGGTTTGTGGCACGTGTGCACGCAACGCCAAATTGTAAACTGGGACTCAACTGGGCAAGAAATTATAATTGCGTTAGCCCGTCAGTGGTCAGATGCATCTGGTCACTTACCAAGTGCAGGTTCATTTTACAAACTGAATGTTTACTTGTGAAAACGGTAAATGTGTTCACGCCAATCAGCAGCAATAATCCATTTTTTTCTTTTTTAATCTCCCTTTCACGTGATCGGGTATTCAATGTAAACACACCTTCACCCTATTTACTAAGCTAAATGAACAATCCCTTTTCAAATTGAACAGTTCAGCAAAAACCCACCACCTCCCAATTTCCTAGTGTGCAGCATCAAATAAGAGTTCCATAGTTTACATTTATACCATAAGAGGAATGTAAATAAGATGAAGCTGTTACTGGATACCGATATGAAAATTCAGAAGCTGGGGGGTGCTACAGACTACAGGAGACCACGGATCCCTACACCTCTGTCTGAAAAGTGATAAAGGCTATAGGGAGAAAGAAAAGTAACTTTCGTAAATAAACTACTCTACAATAATTATCAGATTCTGTGTCTTACATAAGATAAGGGAAGCCATTTACCAAACTATGCTCTCACCCGCATGTCCTTATAAATGGCCAAAAGTGGTTTTGTAGATCTTACAAGGGAATAAATACAAACAACTGCTTGGCCAAAAAGGTGAATACCCCAATACTAAAGGTGCACCGAAATGGAAATTTTAAAAAAAAGTGTCAGGCCGAAACCGAAAATGTTATTTTACTTTTTTTTTTAATACACCAATTGTTTTATTTATTCATTTTTATTAAATATTTTTTACTTTACTTTTAGGGGCTTCAGGGAAATATTAGGGGTCTAAACCGACTCCTGATATTTCCCTTTTAAAATAGAAAAAGAGATTGTGGACACAATCTCTTTTTCTGCAGCCCCTGTAATAAATGAACAGGAATCCTCTCTGAGTTCATCTGTTAATTCATAACATGAGGACAGAGTATGTTTACCATATCCACAATTATGAATGAACAGGAGGTGATGAACGCTTGCCATTCATAAATGAGGATATAGTAAACATACAATGTCCTCAATTATCTACAAACACTCAGCGATCACTGAGTGTTTGTACCGCTCTCCTTCCTGACACGCTGTCACAGGAGGCTGAGCGAGCGTTGCAGGGAGAGCTCAGCCTCCTGTAACAGCGCTGACTGTCTCCGCACCACGTTTTGTGACAGGAGAGACGCTGGCCGTTCACAGCGCACGGCCGCCTGTGACACTTTACTCCCCACTGGAACAGAGAACAGAGCCCAGCGGGGAGAAGAGAAAGCAGGGATGCACCGCTGTATCGGCAGAAAAATGGCACTTTGGTCATTTAGCCAAAAGTGCCATTTTCGGCCAATATATTGATGCATCCCTACCTAATACAGCATGCAGTTCTACTATACAAGTTTGGAAAGCGACCTTAAAAAGAAATTCCATCACAAAGTTGGCTTCATAAGGAAGACACATCAATAATCAGTTTGGGGCTCAACACATCATATGATTGTCTGAAAGAGTCTACAGTTACACAATTTGTGTCCAAGTCCTAATCCTAAATTCAGAGATTGGTGACAAATATACTTGAATATTCCCTATTTAGTGACACATTTTAGACCAAATGCTGCACATCTGCCCGACTTTAAAAGTGGACATTCACTGCAGTATTACTCAATGAACAGCCACATAACAGGTGTACTTTAGAAATGTATATCCCCATACACCGCACATGCCATTCAGGTAAAACTGAGGAAAATTAAGGCAAGGGGGTTAGGAGGTGCCAGCTGTCCCCCTTCACAGCCACCTAAAGCTGAAAAAATGCTTCAAGTGACACTAAACTGGAGAAAAAAGTTTAACCACTTCAAGACCAGGTGTTTAGACCCCCTTCCTGGCCAGGCCATTTTTCAGTATTCAGCGCTGCGATACTTTGACTGACGTTTATTCCGTCATGCAACGCTGTACTGAAATGAATTTTATACCATTTTTTGGGGACAGCTAGAGCTTTCTTTTGGTGGTATTTAATCACCACTACGGGTTTTATTTTTTATTATGCGCCTGACGGCGCGCGCAAGGGGGCGTGTCTGAGCGGACGTCTAGAGACGCCCGCTCAGATCGAGAGCGCTCCTGGCCGGCCGTTTTTTTACTACGGCCGGCCCGGAGGTAGTTAAAAAAATGTAGTCTAGTGCCTTATTAACAATGTATGTTATTTGTGTATCACTCGGCTGTAGAGCCTCAAATCATCTCTGAATTGGTGCCGACATTGTCCTTCCGTGTGGAGGGTGACTACTTTTGTTGCTCATGGTCCCGGTGTGTTGTAAAGTAGTCACCACTCCAGGTGAACTACAATCTCCTGTTTAGTTTACCAATATGTATTGAACTTATAGTCTATAATGGGAGCGAGCTTGAAGGGGTGACTACTTTACAACACACACAGGGACCATGGGGAACAGAAGTAGCCACCCTCCAGAAGGAAGGACAGTGTCAGCACCAATTCAGAGATGATTTGAGGATCTACAGCATGCTGCAACTGTGTACAGAATGAAAACCACAATCAATCCATCTGAATGACAGATCAGCACTGGGTGCATTTGTGACCAAAGAACTTTGCAAACCTGTATACTTTGTGTTAGCAAAACCATCAAAGTATAAAAGCCATGGAGGAGGGTAATGCAAATCACTGCGATTGTCACAGAGGAGTGACAAGTCGCCAGTACAAATAACAAAGCCCCCAATATTCCTCAGGACTTGTGACCCCCGGCAGGTGAAATACTCACTTTTTTGCTTTGTAGACGTAGGCACATCTCTTGCCCAAGTAGAAATCTGTCTCATCTCGAGCATAGACCCCTTCAATTTTCAGCAGGGCTGTGTGTTCCCGTTGATTCCTGAGGCCTCTCTTGTAGCCAGCAAAGGTCGCTTTACACCACAGTCTAAAACAATGTAAACGACAAGTCAGTCCCCAAACATACCTGCCAGACATTTTGTATTTGTAATGTCCAGATGCAGACAGCACTGAAAAAGAGCAAACATCTAAGTCAGTACCTACATGTTGCACTAGGACGAGCATTTAAATACCGGAAATGACGACATTCTATCAATTTAGCGTTAGGAATGCTGCGCCAAAGTGTGTCCGAGAGCCACACTGCAGCTGAGGATTCAAGTGGAACTCCAGGATTATTTTTGGAATAGCGACAAGTGAAATAAGTCACCTCAGATGATCCTGACATGTCTAGTTCACACAGACGTTCAGCAACCCAGCCACAAATATGGGTTCAGCAAACCAAACCCAGGGCTACCTGTGAACTAGGAACCAATGGTGGTGGCCGCACAGGGCCATTGGTTGTTAGGGTATAGAGGGAGGTTTGGCGGGTGAACTGGCCAAATTGTTTGCCCATTGAAAAACAACTTGGGTACGGGTCGCACCCGTGGCCTATCCCCAATGCTGACTATCCTATGACCAGCTGGCTGCTGATTATTGTACAAACCTTAATTGTTTTATCGCGTGCTGACACCTAGGCACCGCCGTTCTGAGCATTTGTACGTGCATGAGCAGCATGCGGTTATTTGCATGCTGTGCATATTTTGATTTGCGTTTTTACGACTGAACATGAAGACGCACGTTTTGACTGGCAGCTTATGAAACATTGTGGGCAATGGAAGAACACAAAAACCGCTCACGAAAATGAGCAACACGCTTCTGTCTTACGGGCATTTCCATTAAAGTCTATGGGGCAAAAACACACTTTTATCTGCCCAAAAGTAGCTCACGTTTGGCGGTTTTCTGCTCAGGTGTGAACAGGCGCCATTGAAAATCATGGGATTTCTAGTGTTGGGCTCTTCATCCAGAGCTGTGACTGACAGCCCTGGCTCTCCAGCATTCACCCACCATTCCCTCTCTTCTCAGACACACAAAACACCATGAGGGGAATTTATCAAAACTGGAGGAGACAGAATCTGGAGCAGTTGCCCATGGCAACCAGCTTCTCTCTTCAGTTTGTTGAGTTAAGACTTGAAAATGAAAGTGAGAAGCTGATTGGTTGCTGCGCAACCAATCATTGTTTTCTTTTCACATGGCGCAAGGCATTCTGTAAGGCTCCATTCACGTCCCACACGGAACTAAACTGCTAACATTTTTAAATCTGCACGGATGCCGCTTGTATTAAATACTCGCAAACGCGCAGAATCCGCCGGATTATCGCACTTGTACTATTTCGGGTGCCACGCGATCCCCGCAATGGTCTGATGCACATTCAAGTGCATTATATTCTGTTTCGATCCGCTCCGCACGTATTCGGCTGTATAGCCATTCAGGTGTGAATAGAGCCTTAATGGACAAGGGGAGACAGGATCCCTCCAGTCACAGAATGCCTTGTATCCTGTAATAAGGGTGAATAATGCGATCCCAGCACCAGAAGTGTCAGTTGCATGGCATTAGAATGCTGCTTTTAGGATCTGATAAGATTTGTACAGTAACCAATCAGACATGAGAGAGTCAGCATTAGAGGTAACATCTCATAACTTGTGGCAAAGGCAAAAAGATCCTCCTGGAGTTCCACTTCGAGTCATACATTGTACACAGATCTCCTATGGCACATTTGTGTTAGTGGTGCCATGTAACACACATGTACAGTGAATATTTACACTCACTTTAATATGAAGAAATAACTGCTATATAAATACAAATCATACAGGAACAAACGTCTGCAAGCTTTCTTGGTCGTGCTAACACTCAGAAGACTGACAGAAAGATTCCATGAGCAGCGGAAAGTGCCACATGTCCCAAACTCACAGACTGACCCAACCCGCACACCGTACAGCCGTCCCCACACACCGCGCTACACCAACAAGCCGGCGCGAACACTACGAAGTGACATGTCAGCCGAACCCCGGGACCTACAATCCTCCTATTATCTCAGCCATCCCGCCACATAAAGCTCGCACATCCTCCTTTATCGGTGGCTCAGATGAGTTGCCCCGAGTCTCTGTCGATATTATATGAATCTTCTAGCTATAAACCACGAAATTCCTCCATAGAAACAGAAGTATTTTCAGCTCACCCGCACCGGATTCCAAGATGGAGGAAAAGGAAAGGCCAAAGCGGTGCACGCTGGGAAATTAGAAACGTCCTGCGCGCGGGGTGTCCTAGTCACTGCCTGTGCGAAATGTGCACAGTGAAGGAAAGAAGAACTGGGCATAGATATTGCAGCAGTTTTACGGGAAAGCAATTATTGCAGTGAATAAAAATGGAGGAATAATTACGTGTTATAAAATAGGCGTTTAGGTGTCAAAACTATTCGGAGGGCCCCAGGGGCGGAGCCTTGTATCCATGGACACCGAACGACGCTGTTGTCCTAAAGCGTGCCGGTCAGCGTTCAGATGTGAGTAAGCACCGTATGTACCGTAGAGAATGGAGGGTGAGGGGCGGGCAGCAAAAACCATAACTGGGGAGCCATGCTACATCTCTTGTAGAACGCATATTGGGGCAATTTTATCAAAACTGGAGCAGATTTGCACTGCAAACAGTCAGCTTCTCATTTTCAAATCTTACCTAAGCAAACTGAAGAGAGATGCTGATTGGTTGCTATGGGCAACTGCTCCAGATTCTGTCTGCTCCACTTTTGATAAGTTCCCCCCATTGTCTGCAATGGGGCTAATTCACAATCAATAAGCCTTAGTAGTTGTGAATCAGCCCCATAGTGACTAAGGCCCCATTCACACTGAGCGACATAGCTTTAGGAGCGGATCCGCGCGGCTGGGAAAGCGCGACGTTCCAGCGACGGTAGGGCCACCTTCACCGTCCGGCTGCATTAAAAAATAGAAAAATCGTGCGACATCAGCCGAAAAAAGGGTCCTGCAGGCGCGACATGGAGCTGTACATTAAGACAGCTCCATTGAAAATCATTGGCCGGCGACTTCTCGCGATATCGCGTGGCAAAAGTGCGCGTAATCGCGCGGCAATCCGCTCAGTGTGAATGGGGCCTAAGGGGCAATGTGTTTGACATACAGTGTGTGGGGAATTTATCACAACTGGAGCAGACAAAATGTGGAGCAGATTTGCACTGCAGCCAATCAGCTTCTCTCTTTCATTTTCAAATCTTACCTGAGCAAACTGAAGAGAGAAGCTGATTGGTTCCCATGGGCAACTGCTCCAGATTCTGTTTTCTCCAGTTTTGATAAACCTCCCCCCCCCCGTGTGTTTTTTAGTCTCGCATAGAATGTGAAATTCTTAGGACTCCTGTTGAGTTTTTATTGCTGTCTGTAAGTGTTTTTCCCCATAGTTCTTTTTAGGGTCAAGGGAGGACATATACTAGCGTCCTTCCGTGACCCAAAGCTCAGTATATAGCGAGCTATCGCCAACGATCAACAGAGAGCGCCACAGCAGGGATGGATCCCGACAATACTGTTGTGATCCACTCAGCTGCGTGATTGACAGCGGGCTCTGCCTATCTAGAGGCAGAGCCAGCTGTGCCCGCCCCCTGCCCGTCTGTTCCTCCACACAGGGCTTGAGGATCGGAGAGGGGAGGGGGGAATCTTTGCGGGGAGCAGTGACTGACAGTCACCGCTCACTGCAGGGAGACTATCGAGAAGTGAGCGGATTGGCAGCATGTTTACTGTATGCTCACCCCCCGACAACAGCTTCTTTGTCACAGGTCGGCTCTAACTATGAGGATGAGTAGTTCTCCTTTAAAGGAGAACTATGGGGGTCAGTGTTTTTCCCCATAGTTCTCCTTAGGGTAACGGGAGGACACAAACTAGCGTTCTCCCATCACCCTAAGCTCGGTATACCACGAGCTACAGCTCAGCTCGCGGTATACTGAGACGCCGCAGCCGGAGCGGATCCCGACGTAGATGACGGGATCCGCCCAGCTGCGTGAGTGACAGCTGGCTCTGCCTATCTAGAGGCAGAGCCAGCTGTACCCGCCCCCTCCCCCGTCCGATCCACCAGTCAGCGCTGGCAGATCGGTGCGGGGAGAGGGGAATCCAGCCCTCCCCCTGTCGCGGCAGAGAGCCGTGACAGGATCGAGAGGTGAGCGAACCTGGTATGTGTTCGCTCACCTCCCGATCTACTGAGCCGACCTGTGACAGTCTCATTGTCACAGGTCGGCTAGAACTATGAGGTGAGTGGAAATCACTCATCTCATAGTTCTCCTTTAAGTCCCCGTTCACACCGTAGCATATCGTGAGCGCACATGAAATGTGTCGAAAATTTCACAAAACGCGCACCAAACACGGAACGCGTTTGCAGTGCCATTACCAGGTAATGGCTTGGCAAACGTGGTCGAGGAAATGCAATGTTCTGAGTTTTTTTCCCATGTGTTCTCACACGAGGGAAATAAACGCAGAATGCATGACACAAAATTTGTTACATGCACTACTTTCCCACGTTTAGCGCACATGCAGGAACCCATTGAAACCAATGGGGACGCGCACCAAACATGGGAAGCAGTGGCGTCACAAGGGGGTGCGGCCCGCACCGGGGGGTGACACCATTAGAGGGGTGACACCAAAATGACTGACTGTCATTTTGGTGTCACCCACCTCTAAAAAGTCAGGCACTCAGTCATGGACCGAGAGCCCGTCAGTGTCAGAAGAGAGGAGGGGACTGTGACGGACCCCCGTACTCAGGATGAGTATGTCCGCCGCTGTCTTCTTCCTTGCTGAGGAGATATTGGAACCCGCTGATCTGTAGCTCCCAGTTTCCCCAGTCACTAGCCAAGGCTTGAGTGTAGGGTAAACAAACTCTGATTTATTGAGCAACTGCACAAACTTATATACAGCAAGTGATGAAATTAGAATATAATCCCATCACATCCACCCTCCCCTCCCAGACCATCGGTCTGCTCAACACCACAGGTGTCCACCTGCTAACGAACTCCAGACAGCCATAGCAGGAGCCTGGCCAGAATGTCATTGTTCTGAGCTCCCTCAGAGAACAATGGGAGATAACGAGGGATGGTGCTGATAGTCTTTCCATAACCAGGTCACACAGAATAACGCACTCAAACATAACCCAACACCAATACACATTTATCTTATAAACTGATCACCGTGTCGTCACAGGGACCCGGTGGGATGACCTCATCCCGCCGGGTGAACGTCCCCTCCTCTCTCTCTGCCGGCGTCCATCACTAAGATGGCCGTCGGCAAGCGTCAATTAGATGACCGCGCATCCGCAATGAGGTCATCGTGCACGCGTGTGATGTCACGTGCATGCGCAATGATGTCACGATGGGGTGTCACCTGGTCTCTGCTCTGAGTGATACCTGGCCTCGGGATGCCCCTGATGGGAAGCAAGCACACAAACGTGACCCTATTATGTGAATGGGGGCCTCTTACCTTTTCCACCGGGTTCTCCTAAGTTCACATACTCACACTGACTGATCTGTGGTGACCCACCTCTCCGCTGCTCCATGCCATATCCTGCGCTGCCATCTTGCTTTCTTCTGTCATCAAGAGGTGGCTGTCTCCTGGGTTCTTCCAGCCTCCCCCTGATGACAGGCTGCCTGATCTGCCCTCCACCAGTGCTGTGCATGCAGAAGCTGAAACCTCCTGGGATGTGTGATGTGCATATCCCGGGAGCTGGGACACCATTATCACCTAGACAAGGATGGAGGCAGGGAGCGGGCCAAGCTATAATAATAATAAGGGCAGTTTCTCTACATTAGTAATATAATGAGGCAAAGTCGTTTTTGTAATGAAGATCTGCTTTACCTCCGGGTGACGCTTAGGGTTGCCACCTTTTCTGTAAGCGAAACCCGAACACTCTAGCGACACGCAGAGTTTTTTGGGAGAATGAGTGGCGGCTTATTCATATGTAAATATCACAGTTGAGACCATTTTCAGTGGGGGCCAGTAGCCGTTATCTTAATTTTGGTTGCCACTGTCTGCCTGACATCATGTGTCCGGGTTCCTGCTGCCATGAAACCCGGACACAGCATTCAAAACCCGGACTGTCCGGGTGAATCCTGGACAGGTGGCAACCCTAGTGATGCTCTTGCTGCTTGAGGGGCTCTAGCTCTTTCTCAGGAAGGACCTCTGCAGAGATACTACTGCTTCCACACAGACAGTAAGACTCCTTGTCTGTAACTTGTTACTGGTGGACAGCTCTTTGGACTCACCGTAAGGATCGATTTGCCACCTTACAAATGTAAGAGTGTTAGAATATATCTTTTGGCTGCACATTAAATGTTTTTAGCCGATTTATTATAAAATGTCATTAGAGCTTTATCTTTAAGTAATAATATGGTGTAGATAAGGGGGGCAGATGTTTCACTATGTTTTAATGATCTGAATTCTGACTAAAATTATAATATGAGCGCAAAGAGGCTCATTTAAAAAAGCATCAGTGACCACATTGCAACCATACTGGTTCTTTAAAACAATGCACATTTATAAATATGAATTGCACTTCTCCAGCTATGGTCCTAGGTAGCACAATAACACAAGGCTCTCCTCCAATCAGACAGCTCTATCAGCTCCATGGAGAAGAGAGAAGCCTGTAGGACTTCACCAGCTACGCACCAGAGCCCAGTTTTTATGAATGGGTGGGCTGTGGTATGCAGTGTACAATGGAGAGTGGACGGCCATATCCGCCCTCCTTTATGAGCCCCAAAGAGATGTGTACATATCACATGAGAATTGTAAAGTATGTATGTTATTATTATCTCGTCATAGAAGCCTGGAACACTGCCCATAGAGCCAGCAGATGATGTCTCTACCAATGATGGATGTGCTGCGGGTGTGCACAGTGCTGGAGGACAGTTTGGATCAGCTCTCCATTCTAGGCTTAATCATGCCTGTCTCCTACCGTGGCCAAAGTGACGTAAGTGGCAACACTGACTTTCATTACTATGTCAGAAAAGCTATTGTGTAGCACTGATCTATTACTTTCTAAGGACAGAGCTCATACAAGAGATTTCTTGTGCCAGTAATTGTTTGACATTGAAAATCAAAGCATGCAAATTCCTCACTGAGCAGCGGACAGGACCACAGAAGAATATCCTTTTATTGGAAAGAACTGCAGGCAACACAAGCTCTACTGTGACTTTAGCTGAAATAAAACTGTCATATATTCAGGTTACTGATCCATAAATGTGATGGAGGCATTAGTTCCTTTATTTTCACTTTGTGATCCGGCAGTGAGTCTATTTTTCAGCTTCATTTAACAGGCCAAGCTGTCCAGCAATAGCGGCAGAGAGAGGATTGAGACAAACCATTCAACACTGACGCGGGTGGTTAAATCTGTCCGTTTTTATACAGGAAGTCCCCGAGTTACAAACGACTCCTACTTCCAAATGGGGGCTATTGCTGCACAGCAGGGGGGTCCCAGGCTGCAGCCAAAGTGTACCGCGCGGCGTTCCAGTAGTTGTAATTCTACCGCGTTCGTGCCGACGAGGAGTGCCCGCCTTTTTGGGTCTGGTTCATAGTAATGTACATACATTATAGGAAGTTGGTTCTTGTTAGAAGTGCAGACGAGGGGTGCCCACCTCTTCTTCCTTGTTACTGTGAGGTTTTTACTGCTGTCTGTATCCTCATTAGAAAGATTTAATTTCACTTCCTGTCCTTGAGACAACAGGAAGTGAGAGGAAATCTACCCCTAGGAAGGGAAATTCACTCCTGTAAGAGCTATCATGGGAAAAATTTGTCTCCACTGAAGCTTTATCACCAATTCTTGAACTGCCTGTATTTATGTAAAACCTCAGACTGGGAGAGCTGTTTAAGGGCCCCTGCACCCGTTGCTGTGTACAGTAGACATGTAACCCCCGCAAAAAAATCTGATTTTTTTTTTTCTTTCGTTTTTCGGATCCAAAATTTGATTTGTTTTGGTATTTGGATTTCGATTCCGTCCGAATTATTGCTTTAGAACAAAGTCACATGACCATGCCTGTAATGCAACCCCCGACAGCCAAAAAACCCCATCTGATTGGCCAGAGAACAGTCACATGTCCGATTTAGTTTTGCTTTGAAAGAAATTCGGACGGAACCGAATTTTCGGTATCAGACCATTCTGATTCGTTCACATTCAGACTCGTTCAAATTTGTAAATATCCAAATTTTATGAAATTCTTACAAATATCCATTTGGAAGGAAACAAAATGTACATGTCTAGTGTACAGCCTCCTATAAAACCAATGGCTGTGTGCTTGTACCTACGTACAGCTGCATATGTGCACAGATGTATGTCCCTGGACACAGCAAACCTGCATCCTGGGATTTACAGTCGTATGAATACGTGGCTGTATACCAGTGCTTGCATATAGGGCTGCGATAGGGGGGGTACAGCCCGCCCTCCTCTACTGGGCCTGGGCGCCTCTAGGGACAGCAGGGAGGCCCGCCTGGGGCTGCTCACACAGCTTCCACCAGGAAGTACTTCCTGCAATGCCTGTGCAGCTTGTCAACTACAAGTTATCGGGGCGGCTCTACAGCCACCCACATGACTTCTACTAGCCTGCGATGTGATGTGATTCTCTGGCAGGGAGAAATATACTAGAATTGGTGTTTTACAGGCTCAGCAACCGGTGTGCATGAACCCTAAGAACAGCTTGCCATTCCTGAACCGGAGAATACTGTGAATCTAAAAATTGGCAGCACAGAGATGACATCATTGCTAAGCTGCTGCTACTACACTATCCATTTAGTCGGGATCACTGGTTTGCTGTGGAGAAAAGTAAATCGTAAAAACCTGGCAATGGATTCTAGACGGGGTGTCAGGAATAGAGAACTTGCTGGAAAGATTTACACGTGGCAAGTAATACAGATGTTTCACCTGTGTTTTGTATATGCTTCCCTGGAGCTTAGACCTAAAACCTAAGTAGTGAAGAGTTCATGTACATATCTGCAGGTGTCCATGATCACCATTACACATCATTATTATACAGTATGCTGTTTCCAGGAAGTGCATTGTGGATGAGTCTAGAGGTGTTTGAGGAACCACCTAACCCAACCTTTGCAGTGTTCTTCTGTAATTCACTTTGTATGGAATAATACTTTTCCCCCCTATTTCAGTAAAACTGGAACCGATACAGTTCTATTCATTATTTGTATTGTCTGACTTCAGATGGTTGGAAATGAAATTGGCACAATTCTGAAGGCACAGAGACAGCTGGAGGGAAGGTTTGAGGAGCTGGTTGGCTCGCACTCTGGTCTTCGGTTTACACCCCCTCCTTTGTCAAACAAGTTGCTGGATCTGAAGGACCAGGTGCATGAAACAAGTCAAACGCTTAAGATGAGCAATGAGCAGTTTACTAAAGCAGTAAAGCAAAGCCCGTTAACAGCCGACAACTTGAAGAAAGTGCAGGCGGACAGGTAAGCATCATTATCATTATTATAAACAAATAAAACAAAATAGGAAATCAATTAGTTCATTATTCTCTAGCACAGAGGTGGGCAACTGCGGCCCTCCAGCTGTTGTGGAACCACAAGTCCCATGAGGCACTGCAAGACTGACAGTTACAGGCATGACTCCTAGAGGCAAAGGTGGCATGGGATTTGTATTTTTACCACAGCTGGAGTGCTGAGATGGTGTGAGATCGCTTGTTATTGGTGGGTTACCAGGCCATTTGAATTATACAGTTATGGTAACATGGAGGACATGTGTCTAATGACCCGGCGAAAAAACAAAAAGTCAGTATAATGTCACAAAATATCCTTTTCAATAAATGAATGTACCTAGACTAATCTAACTTGGAAATCTAGGCAGGAATGATACCTCTGTATTATTTTGGTATGACATGATTAGAAAAGGTCACTTGCTATATTCTGTAATAAGAATAATAAGACATTTTGGGAACACCTAAACCCAAGCATGTGATTATGCAGGCCAGGTATTTTGAACCTTTTACCCATGGAAGTCTTACTAGGCACTAAAATAAAACTGCAGTCCCTTTCCAAAGGCCTTCTGCAAGTCCTGCTCCATTTGGAATCGGAAAGTTGTATAAAAAGGAAAGAAAACAAACGAAGACTGCACATTTAAAGAAGAACTCCAGGATTTTTAATAATGAGCTCTTGCATCCTTCCTTAATCCCTTCAGTCCCTTCTGAACTCCTTTGTGTGGGCTAATAAACCTTCAGGGGTTCGCCATTCCCTTCTCCGTAGGGCTAAATATCCTGGGGCTCTACCAGATGTGACTTTTTAACATTGGGCCGTACATCTCGCTAGAGTCTTGGAGTGGTGTAGGCACTCAGAGTTCAAACAATGGATTTCCATGGAAGTCCTTTTTATCGATTCCTCTATCTGCTCTACCATGGTGTTCCCATCCTTTGACCTCTACTATGTGCCCTCATCCTACTGTGGCTGCTACTGTGTTTGGCTCCGTGTTTGCAAAGAGCCGACTCTGCTCGGTTCTTCTGTCTCCCCTGATGCCTCTCCTGGGGAACCCCCCGGGTTTCTGGGACTGCATCTTTTGTGCACTACGATGCTTGGGGAAATTCTGCGCTTTGGATTTTATTACCAAGTCTCATTGGCCTCTCCACAGACCCGACCCTTATCCCATTTTCTACATTCCCTTCCAGATGCTTCCTGCTTTGAGCGTCCTTTGACTTCTTTTGAACAAGAATGTCTATGAAAGGGCCCTATCAGGCACGTCATGTCCATCTGCTCAAAGTCCTTGCTACGGGATGATGAGAGCTCTCCCCGTCCGTTTCTTACCAGTTCGGAAGGTGATCTGCATGTACAATTTACACCAGAGGAACGAACCAAGCTCCTTATTCTTTCCTACAAATCGTCCATGAGCAACAAATATCAGGAATCGGGGTACAAAATACTAACCAGCTGGTACAGAACGTCCCACGTATTGCACTCCATTTTTCCTCAGGTCCCCGAAACCTGTTGGGGTTGTGGGCATCTCTAGGTGATATTTTGCACATCTTCTGGTCTGCACTGGAACACTTTCGGACTCTGGTCCATAGTGTTACTCAAAAGTTTACAGAATATACTATCCCTAAGGACCCGACCTTCTTTCTTTTGCATCATAACGACATTCCCCTGCATACCTACCAGCGCTCTGTGGTTCAGCACCTGGTGAATGCCGCCAGAGCGTGTATTCCTGCCATGTGGAAGAAGTCTGATTCCCCCCACCGTGAATCAGTGGTTTGATAGGATCAATGGAAGATCTTATTAGTACCATTAAACACACGTCTGCAAAATTTTCCAAAACTTGGTTTTATTGGCTTGAGTTTATTACTTTCCTTGAATATGATGCTTGCTGAGCGTCTTTGCTTATGGGATGCACTATGAATACTGTGATTACCCCCCCTTTCTCCCTCCTTTTTTTTCCCCTCTCCCTTTCTTTCTTTCTTTCTTTCTTTGCTCTTCTGCTTTTCTTCTATTCCTGTGAATGCTGCTCCCGGGATTTTTACTTGTCCTTCTGGACAATACATAATTGTTACTGTTTTGTTACTTTGTCTCTATGCCTTGGTTATGTTCCCATGTTGAATATCCCACTGTTTGATTTGTTTCCTTTCTCTGTTATTGTTAACTTTACAAAAACTTGTTAAATAAAAAATGTATAAAAATTAAATAACCCTTGCAATGGGGCTACCCCAGCACGGAAAGGGTTAAGTGCTCATTTTGTCTAGGGGCAAAAACAAATAAAAAATACGCACCTGATCCTCGATCCCGCCTCGCTGCTAGACCCAGACCCATGATGTCATTACTTCTAATGCAGGTCCATTAGATCAGAGGACCCAGAGGGACATAGTACACCCAGAGGAGAGGGGTACACCCAGAGCAGAGGGGGAGAGAGGTGAGCACTTACTGCATCAGGACCGAGGATCAGGGGAGTATTTGTGCTTTATTTTTGTCCCTAGAGAAAAATGAGCACTTAAAGGGGTTCTAAACCCTCCGTTTTTTTTGCCTATATCTACTGCTAGCAAGCAGTAGATATAGGCAAGAAGTTTAAAAAATAAAAAAAAACACTAACAGCGGTTTACACTTATCACCTTTGTAGCCCCACAGCAAGGGTTCATGTTTAAAAATTCTGGAGTTGTTCTTTAAGGATTGGTAAGCTGCAATATATTACGTTTTGGGGTTTAGATTACACAAGCATTCACTGAATGATTTTATTTGGGTTACTCTTGAAAAGTAGTATGGTCTACTTCTAATAACTGTTCTTTACCAAACAGGCAATTTGCAGCAGATGTCATCACAGACATGCTAAAGGAGCTGGAAACCACGGGATCATTTCAGAGCCTCCAGCATGCCGTAGTTCTGGAAAAGGGGAAAAAAATGAATTTCTACGACACAATAGACAGGTGAGTTCTGTAAACTGGTGAAAATTAGAGGCGGGTTATAGAATCAGATGCACTAGTGCTCAATTGTATTCAAAATACTTATCACAGCATTTTTCTTGTATTTTTTTCCCTTCAGGCATCTGCCCATGTTAGAACTGAAGCATGCAAGATTGGTGCAGTGTTGCTTCACACCACTAGAGGGGAATGGGACCTCATCCACATCTTTCCTAGTCCCTATACCCCCAACGCTAAAGGGTAATTCCACTTTCCCAGGTGACTTTGGGAAAATAGAATTACCCCCTCCAATCTGGCCCCTCTCTCCCCCTTGGCACTAAGAAGCACTTGAGCGCTTGCCCTTTGCAAGCGAAATTCAAAATTCAGAGAGCAGGACTGCGCTGCACAGCAGTACAGGGTACGTATAGTATTCCTGGCATTGGCGGAGGGGAAGGTGTGGTTGCCCAAAGGTAAGTATAGCAATAGGGGGAGAGGGGGCCAGATTGGAGGGGGTATTTCCATTTCCAAATTCACCTGAGAAAGTGGAATTACCCTTTAATGACTTTGTCAATTGCCCTATCGTGTACCAAATATCAGGGATAGGATGAGTGTTATGGTGACCATACACTGTGCGAAAATAATTTGCACAGTGAGTGCCGCTGTCGGCACCCTTTTGGCCAGCATCCCTTGATCAGCTGATCGAAGGAGTCGGTCGTAAGAAACAGAGCCGGCAGCCAATGAGCTGCCGGCTCTGTTCGGGTATTCTGACAGTGGCCAGTGTCCGAATACAAAAGAAACAGCGGGGATTCCTCCATTGACACACTCGTAGTGTTGATGAAGAAATCTGCTCTATTTTTTTTTGTTCAGCCCGCGGGTAGAGCAGTGAATGGCCAGCTTTAGAGTAGATTCTCCTATATATTACACTGGGTACAAAGGATGTACACGGGTATAATCATGTTTCTTTCTATATGTTCTATACAATTTGACTAATGTGTGAATGTTGGCTTTATTATGTTAATTCTGATTGACTTGTTTCACAGGGAACAGGAAGGGAGAAAAAAGGTCAAAGCATTGCAGAAGCAGCTGCACGATGTAAGACAGGAGAAGAAAATGGAGCTGCAGGTAATGCAAACATCGTAGTGCTCTAGTGTGCTAGACCTAGAAGCGGTTTGATGCGTTTCAATATATTATGTCTAGGGTCAGTTATTAAGACCCTGTTCACATGTGTGTGATGAAGGTGCATTGTGAATATGGTGCACTGTAGGCACATTGGAGGGAATTTATCAAAGCAATTGCGACAGTTTTAGCCTCTTAGATCATTTTTTTTTTAATGTGCAAATCTGTCTTTTATCATGTGCCCCTTTTTTGACCAGAGCTTGCACTACTTTTTCAATTGCATGTTTTTTGCACACTAGAAAATAAAATTGAAACAAGCATTAAAAGCTTGGCCACAAATTCAAATCATTACATGGCCATTGGCTCCCCTACTACGTACAGTATACTTGTGCCCCTCAATAGGGATAAGTAACACACACAGCATACTCATTGCTTTCATGGCAAGGTGCCAGTAGTTCTGAAATTGTGTTTAGATTTATTTGATCTCAGATGTCCCTACTGTAGTATCCGCACTTTTGTCTGTTATGGTGATAAAACACGCCTGACATCCGGCTCTTCTGCTTCTCCGGAGAGTCCACTTAGAAGTAAACAATGTGCAGTATTTTGTGCAGTGATATTTCACAGGATGGCGGCCTTGTGTCTTTTCCATACATGGTAACATGATTAAAGGACAGAGGGAGGAAGGATTTGTATATAAATGTCATAAAATGTGAACATGATATAGATTCTTCTCCCTTGTGAGATATTAAACTTGTCTCATCTTAAAGCGGAGTGAAATGCCGGGACTAGTGGTATATAAGCAATGCTGTAATAAGCACTTTCACAGTAGTTAACCTTGTCTGCCGACAGACTGTAAGCATTTTTACTGCAGTAAGTTAGAAGAATGAACTTCATACTGTATCTTTTACAGAAATATTTCCATCTCTTACTGATATCACATTAAAAAAGATTAATTGTTCTCCCTTCACGTTCTGACTTCCGCTAAGAGGAGATAGCTCTGAATTGCTTACAAAGTCCCTTAGCATTTCAAATGTGTTTACTCATATCCACTGGATCATGGCTCATGAGAAACGCACCGCGCAACTTTACAATACTATGCCCAAATTTGAAGCGATCTGGTCTCCTTGGATTGACAAATATTTCAACCCAGCTTTCCCCCGCCGCCTATGTAACATCTGATAATCCCCAAACGTCCTCCCAGATGAGTGCTCCCCCTACCTCTGCGTACGACCCAGACCCTCCTCTTTCTTCTCCTCTTCTTTCCAGATCCTAACCGCTCTATGTTCTTTTCCCCCATGTCTCCCCACATGTTGTGGTGTTTACTGTCAGTGGTATCACTTTCCTAAACACAAGATTGCCGGTCTACGCAATTAATCTCGAGCTATTTTTCACCTTTTAAGTTGCATTAGTGAAATAAATGAACTTTTGCAAGATATTCTAATTATTCGAGTTTCACCTGTATATGTCTGAACCATTATTTTGCTGCCCAACCCCACACATGCTGGGCTCCTCTCGCAAGCTATGTTTCAAACTCCGTCCAGTGGATTACTGCCATGGTATACCAAGACAGGAACTTATAAACAGTTGGAGGTGTGCTCTGTTTTTGTGCTGCTTCCCAAAGGCCAACCTTGTGTTCCTCCACTACTGTTACATTTCACATGTGATACATGTTTTTTATGTATGGTTGCCCTGTGTGTTGCAGGCATCAGTTGGCAATGTAAACTGTACGTGTATACTTGCACTGTTAACTTCAATAAAAATGTATTTGAGAGAAAAAAAAAAGATTCATTGTAATTAGTTGGAACATATGGAGGAAGTGGCGGTTTTGCTTTACGACAGGTTTGAACAATATACTGTACCTCCATGTGGAGTGCCTTCAACACTCTTCTTAAATTATGTATTTAAGGAAGAACTCCAGGCACAAATTGTATTAACACTTGCAGTGGAGATATCCCTGAATTGCAATGGTTAACTGCTCACTTTCATCCAGGTAAAAAAAAAAGTTATACTCACTTGCTTGGCCCTCTGGTAATGGCAACTGGTGACGTCATTGAGCTAGGCGGGATGACAGATAAAGCATCACAGGTTGCTAAGAGCTCTTAGCAACCTGGGAGACTGTGGCCACCCCCCAATGAGATGCCGCCTGAGGCAACCACCTGATCCGCCGAGCGGTTCTTAGACCGGTCTCTTCCACATCGCTCCGCTCTACTGCAGCAGTCTAAGGTCCCTGAGTCATCATGTTCTATACATAGTGTATAAGATGTGAGGACGCTGAGGGGCATAAAATCTCTGCAGCTGAGGAGAGAGGCTGGAGGGAGCACTGTCAGAGCAATGCGGCTTGGAGGATCAGGGAAGTATCATTTTTTTTTTAACCTTGACAAAAACAAGCAGGTAGCCCCACTGCAAGGGTTAATAAAAGTTCTGCTTTTAACCATCTCTTCTTCTCGTACATGGGACACAGCTCACGTATCCACTCCACTGCACCTTTTCACTTCTCAAATATTGGCTCATTAGTTTCCCCTTCTAACTGACGATCATCCCAGGGATTTGGACAGATTTTTATTAGTGCGGATAAGATACCTCTTATAGATTGCACATGCTGTGATCACTGTTGTGCCTAATGTACTTCCATCATCTTTGTACTTTGATCTTACATTTATGATGCCAAATAAATCTTTTATATAAAAACATATAGTGCAATGTATAATATAATAGTTAACATTGCCACCTCCATTAAATCGAATTGTTGCTCTCTCCAACATCCGATACTTTGGAGGTGTGTTGGATGCCTGTGTCCTTTCAGAGCTGCAGGAAAACGCTATTAATATAGCAGCCAGCTAGTGGGGGGGGGATGTATGGTGGAAACCACATCAGCCTGCTCTCAGCAGGTACCCAACACACACCAATACGTTTTTGATCCTGAAGACTCCAGCAGTGGAAGATATGATTCAATGTGGAAGGTAATAGTATAACTGCATCTTACAATGATGTATTTGTTTAGTGATCCTAAAGCCAAAACTTTTCTTGGGAGTTTTGGGTAGTTAGAAAAGGTTAGAACCTCTGTCAGGTTTTCTTTGTCCTCGCTGGGGAAATTCGACTTCTCTATTTGTCCTAGTGACCATTATCACCAGGAGTAAGAGAAAATTCAATGTTTTGATTTGTCACCAGAACAGAAAGTGAGGTTAAGTCTCCCACTGGGGACATTTGTTATGGTGTTATAGTGACAACTATCAAAGAGTGTGGATAGATTTTGCATCTACAGGATTGGATGAAATATCCCCAAACTAAAACAGAAGCCATAAAAAGAAAAAAAACCTCTGACTAGGTTTAAACCTTCCCTACTCTATCCAACACTAAAAATGGCTTTAGATACACTTTCATCTCTTCTCAATGTAACAATACTAAGCTACAAATGTCTTTCTAAAGTCTGTGAGTAGTATTAGCCTATTACTGGTTGCGACAAAACGCCCAATTAAGACTGAACGTGGCCATAAACATGAGCTGATGGTCATCCAATCCAGACAGTTCTCATCTATATAGGTGCTAACAAACCTCACATGCTTGTTCCAGCCAAGTAACCTCAGGGATAAATACCGATCATTTGTTCTAAATAATAAACTTTCTGTTAGAAACTCAGACTGTTTCATCTCCGCAGAGCCGTATTGAACTCATTGCTCACCTCAAGGATCAGCTACAAGAAATGAAAGCCAAAACCAACATGGAAGGCAAGTATGTGAAGAAGGACACGGAGCTTCAGGTGTCCCAGATACAGAAAAAGTGTAGTATATCAGAGTCAGACCTGCAGATGGACATTCAGGTGAGCATTGTACAGACAGGTAATATCCATGTGTGCTGTGGCCCTAGCATAATGTAGGTACATAAGTGTAAACCTATATTATAAGCCAGTGGGTTTAATGTGCCCATGTCATAACATTCAAAAAGATCCATTGTTCATGCAGAGATACAATATGGGAACTACACAGATTGGCTTTAATCATTAGCTTTCTCATTGGAAAATTGTTTAACACTGTTGTAGGGTGTATGTATCCTGCAGCATCCTATATTAAACTATACACTAAACTAGCATCTCAACAGATTACCAATCAGCAGACAGACAGACAGACAGCCATTCATTGTCCTTTATATTTCTATATACAGTATATTGCTGTATTTGCCATATAGAATGTATAAAATGTTCTGACTGAACGTTCAGCTACTGTAATAAACATTCTGCCATCTGCTTCCAGAAAATGAAAGAAAAGATGGATGAGGAGATAAGAGTTCATGTGGAGATAGAAAACTTCCTCAGGCAGCACCAACAAGTGAGTCATATTTTTGTTTCCACCATGACAATGATTTACAGGACAGTTAGCCCTGTGTTCTAGCCAAGGTCTTCCTGTGAGTGCAATGATAGCCATGTGGCCTGATGTATGACAATCAGTGGCGGAGCTAAGGAACAAAGTGCCCTGATGCAAGATTTTTTTGTTGGGGCCCCCCCCCCTCCCCAAAAAACCCCACAAACACAGCGCTCTCCTTCCGGAGCGCTTGGTCGGCTGTCACTTTCTCTCCTCCCCGCTGGGAGACGGAGCAGCGTCCAGCGGGGAAAAAAAGAAAGCACGGATGCACCGCTGTATCAGCAGAAAAATGGCACTTTCGGCATTATGCCAAAAATGCCATTTTCGGCCAATATATGGTGCAGCCCTAATATTTACAGCAATACAGAATGGCACAGGCTATAGAGGACTACACATCCCAGCAATACTTTATATAACAATAGCATTTCTGTATAAAGTACTGCTGAGATTTGTAGTCCTCAGCAGGCGATTGGTTGTAAGTCATACAGCAATCGCCTTGAATACAGAGCCGCGTCTGATGCCGCAGGTCAGCGGTCCCCCCCGGCCCCCCCTTGCTACAACACTGGCCGGGAGTGTCGGATGAACGGATGATCCGACACTCCCGGCGGAGAGACCAGGGGCCCGCCGCACGCTGGATAACGATCCGGCGGCCGGCAACTTGCTGGGCCCCCCCAGAGCCTGAGGCCCCGGGCGCCCGCACCGGCGGTAGTTCCGCCACTGATGACAATGATGGTTCAGTAAAAGTCCTGTACTGATTCACTTTAATAAGTAAAGAAGACGCATCATTTTTGAAGTGCCATCTGCATGCTGTCTTGAAGCAGTTAAGAGGAAATCTGACTACATATATTTTAACACACACACGAATGTATATTCTTCATAATGCACTGATTGTATTTTAGTTTAAAGGAGAACTATGGGGTTAGGGCTTTTCCCCATAGTTCTCTTTAGGGTAATGGGAGGACACAAACTAGCGTCCTCCCGTCACCCTAAGCTCAGTATATTGCGAGCTGTAGCTCACGGTATACTGAGACGCCGCAGCTGAAGCGGATCCCGACAATTATGTCTGGATCCGCCTAGCGGCGCGAGTGAAAGCTGGCTCTGCCTCTAGATAGGCAGAGCCAGCTTTCACTCGCGCCGCTAGGCGGATCCAGACATAATTGTCGGGATCCGCTTCAGCTGCGGCGTCTCAGTATACCGTGAGCTACAGCTCGCAATATACTGAGCTTAGGGTGACGGGAGGACGCTAGTTTGTGTCCTCCCATTACCCTAAAGAGAACTATGGGGAAAAGCCCTAACCCCATAGTTCTCCTTTAAGCAAAGATTATCCAGCAGCTCCTGATATCTCTTAAGTAGTAACCGAAAAGCACAGCCTCTCAAATAAAAGCTGAACCTTATCCCATTGTCTTCATTGCTTGTTGAACTAATCAGACTATTCATGTATAATACAACCTGTATAGGTTTATTTAAAATAGAATTTAGACAAACGGCTGAAAACAAAAGTGGATTAGTAATCTTACATACAGGGGACAATCTTTGTAAAACTACAGCAAAAAGGAGAGCTGTTGAAAGGGTCGATCAAACTGTACACATATCAAAAGCAGCAATGCTATTATTATCGGCAGGACTACTGTTGGGTACATGATTTTTGTATATTAACATGACAGTAAACTAATGAATTAATCAACAATGTATCTTATTTGTGTATCTCTAAAAAATAAGTCAAGGCAACTGGACTTGCTGTAATACAGCAAGTCCAGTTGCCTTGACTTATTTTTAGAGAGATACCATGACCTGGATGAATCAGAACCTTCACAGACCTATTTGTGTATCACTCGGCTGTAGATCCTCAAATCACATCTGAATTGGTGCTGACACTGTCCTTCCTTCTGGAGGGTGGATAATTTTGTTCCCATGGTCCCTGTGTGTGTTGTAAAGTAGTCACCATTTCAAGCTCACTCGGATGATGGACTACAATCTCATGTTTAGTTTACATTTAGTTTCACTGATGCAAGCTTGGAGCGGTGACTACTTTACAACACACAGTGACCATTGAGAAGAAAAGTAGCCACCCTCCAGAAGGAAGGACAGTGTCACCATGAATTCAGGGATGATGTAAAGCTCTACAGCTGAGTAGGCTGTACTTAAACGCATTTTTAAGGTTTAACTCCTGATTTTAGTGTCACTTTAAGAAGCGTTTTAAACACTCACACTGGATATTCGAAGACAAACTTCACATGTGTAGCTATACCTTACAGGAAGTTTCCAGAATGTAGCGCATTGTATTTTTCATCTGTGTAAAGCAATTTGCGTGATCTTTTTGGTGTCCTTGTGCATTCAACCAAAACACCTGAAAAATGTAATTTGAATACCGGACTCATACATGCTGCAATCTGACCAGTATGGATAACTAGAAAAAGGCAGCAAGCACCCAAGCCTTGGAATGCATTTAGCATTCTCTGTAGTACCAATAATGGTATAGTTTCTGTCAAACAGGAATTGGAAGAGAAGCTGGAGTACTGGATGGAGAAGTATGACAAAGACACAGACGAAAAGCAGGCTGAATTGAATGCTTTGAAGACAGCCAGAGTTAATGATCTCACGTTGTTGCAGGATCTGGCCAAGCAAGTAAGGGCAAGATGTCGTATATATGACCTGGAACCAGTCATAAAATACAATGCACATTTGTACTATTCACAATCACTTGCTTATTCCACAGGGAAATGCCTTTTTATTTCTAGCCTGGTGTCTATAAATCATAGAAGCCTCGGGCTTAGGCAATACCAGTTCATTCTTCTCTTTTTAAAACATAAAATAGTTTTTTTGCTATGTATAAGGTACAAAAAAAACTTAATAATTGTAGGTAAAAAGACAATAATGAGATGACGGTAAAAGTCTCTTCTATTTCAGCATAAAATAATTGAAGACTAACGAAAGAACAGCAAGGGTCCATTTACACATCTGTACTTAAAAATACTTTCCTTTATACATGTGATTTTAGGTCCATTTTATGATGGGTTTCATTTTACACAGGCACAGTGTTCATGATTTATAAACTTAAATTTGTCATGAGACAAACTTCTGAAAATGCTAGCTGCCAACCCACTGGCTGCTTTACCCTTAGTGAAAACTATCATCCATCCTTTTCTTTGAATTGGCCTTGTCATGAGAAATGTATGGGTGCTGCTATATCAGGCCTCCTGCTAAAACTTCAGTATGTTTCATTCACAATCTCCAAACAAGCATGCTATAAATGATTATCAGAACTCCTTCTGTTTATACTTGTTCCAGGTCAGCGACTCAGACAGCGTTAAAGTCAATGCATCAGAGTGAAAGCCAGGGAACTAGAATTGTCTGAGAGTTCAGTAATGGCAGCCCCTATTATTCCCTCGTGTCCCTTTAGGGCTTGATAAACGGATGTCACCAGCACACCAATAGTGTTGATGTCCATATTGTTCATTTATTGAAACATCATGTCACCAGAACTAGCGCCTTCGGCACCACTCAGGGTCCCCTTCATCAGGCTCAGCAATGACTGTTGCTGAAGGCTTGTTCACACCAGGTCTGTTGATTTGCGATTTTCTGCATGCCACCAAAATGCTTGGTGTGAACTGCACACATTGAAAACAATTGTTTTCCCATGTGCCTAATTCACACCATACATGTGCGGTGGTGTGCCCAAAAAAAAGTAAAAAAAAAATTGCAGCTTGAAGTAGAATAAATGGAGGATCGATACCAGGCAGATCTTCAAGAAGCAGGTTTATTTGGGCGGCTGGGAACATGCAGCAATTCGGGCATATTAAAATAATATGGGCTCGCGGGCCCTTTTCTTATATGGATGTGAACAATAGAACCATCTGTGTTACCTTGAATTATCTCCAATAATCAGATAGTAATGCCACCCTGCACTCATATTTGATTATGCAAAGAACATTTGATGGGTCTCTTTTAGGGCTGGTAATGATTAACATTTTCGTGTTCGATTAATCGCTTTTTTTTTATCGATTAATTTCGATTAATTATAACGCACATACAGATCCAACTACATTGGCCTATACACATACAGCACAGCAATGAAGTAATACAATGAACTAGGATCACACTAATCCAGCACGTTATTAATCCCACGTGCCCCACTCAATATGGCCGCCGCTTGAGTGGGGCACGTGAGATTAATAACGTGCTGGATTAGTGTGATCCTAGTTCATTTTATTACTTCATTGCTGTGCTGTATGTGTATAGGCCAATGCCTTGGCTGGCGCTCGTGCAGAAAGTTTCTTGGGCAAACTCACCGGCCCAAGTGGCTCCGTCGGCTAACAAAGGGGGGAGGAGTCCTGGTGACGTCACGGACATAGATATCACCGGACTCCTCCCCCTTCCCTTCGTTAGCCGAAGAAGGCACTTGGGGAAGGGGGAGGAGTCCGGTGACGTCGATGTCCGTGACGTCACCGGATCGCCGTCGGGACTCCCGGAAGCCGGCGGAGAGGTGAGTGTTTTCATTAGCGATCAAAATAATTTTAATCGATCAAAAAGTTTAACGATTAATCGAGAAATTAATCTTTAATTTTCACAGCCCTAGTCTTTCTCTCTTGATAAGACTCCCGCACATCAAGGTTAGAGGACAGTTGTCTTAGCATTGGACCTATTCTTCCTTAAGCCAAGATTATAAAAAAACAAACATGTTAGGTCTTTGAACCCTTGTTACCTCGGCCTATAAGACCTAAATGTTCTACATGAACGCTAGTTACCACGACACAAAAAGCTAAATGTTCCATATGTTGCTTATTCATACAACTCATTATATATGTATACATGATGTTTCCACTATATAATTGTACACTATATAAATGCAGGACCTATTACTTTACTTTTCCATTATTCTCTACAATACATTGCTAATAAGAAAGTAGAGGATTTATCTAAAATGTATCTATTATATATGAAATGCTCTGCAGGGCTAAAACTTTCAGCAACCTAACTATATTAATAAGGGTATATGCTGATTAGTATGAAATATATGGGTAAATATCAAAATCCCATTGCAAGCTCAACAGACATGGTGTGAACAAACTTTTAATAATATCATACTTGAGGTGATGGTCACCATGGGAGTCTGCCCCAGTCTTGAATTTATCTGAATAGAGCATGCTGTAGCCATAACATCACACCTCCTGTTCACAGACTGGTCTTTCCCCAGTGAGCTCCCACCTCCAGCACATACAAACACATATTAGTCCCGTGCATCCTTCTACCAGCACACAAACTCTAGTTTCCCCTCCAGATACTGTGTCGTACTCACAGTCCCTCCATGCAAACTGCATGTAAATCCCATCTCTGGGCAAAACACGCTGCAAACTATGCGCAGAGACCCCTCAGTGATCAGCGCTCACACAATAAGCATTAACCCCTCTGTTACCTACCCCCAGCTTATGGGCATTAATCCTCTGTGACCTGTCTGCAATGTGTGTGCATTTCCCCCTCAGTGATCAGCTTTAAGAGCATGTATGTTAACCCCTTATTAACTAATCTGCAGTGTATGACTATTAACCCCTTAATAACCAGTCCCCACCTCGTGTGCGTTAACTCCACAGCACTCATTTCCTCTTTGCATATATCTGATAAGCCCTCGGTGCGACGTCAATAGCCTCTGTGTATTAACCCCCAAGCACCCGATCCCCAAAGTTTTCTCCTTAAGCTCTAGGCGTATGTGTGTGCTAACCACTATGCATCAAGTCCCTAGCTCATGTATCCTACCTTCGGTACCCAGTGTATATTCTTCAACCTCTCAGCATCTAAACGGCAGTTTATGTGCATTAATCCCCCTATCCAGCGCATGTGTGCTAAAGCATATCTGAACCGACATACAAAAAAAACATAATATATCAGCTTACAAGTCCATTGATGTGATGGCTTTTTTCATTTTTATTTTAACCTGGCGATGCCGCGACTAACAAACTTCGTGTCCTAGTATGGCAATGCTTACTTACCCTATTGCATTAGAACAACAGAAACTGAACAGAACTACTGGAATCTTCCCCTTGTCCATAACATAGATGGGCATCCTGTAGTCCTCAGAAAAATATAACAAGGCAGAGAGCATAGGACATTTTTAGCTGACAAGATTTCTAGCAAGATCAACAGGTATTTTTTTTTTTGCACTTAAAGTGGACCTTTACCCATATCTTAAAAAAAAACAGCAAACAAACACATACTTCTACATAATTGCCAGCTTTGTATTCTTTGCATACCTTATTTCTCTTTTCTTTCCCAGTCTTCCGACAGTGGCCATTTCTACTAAGGGCAGATACTAGCTCTGCATTTACTTCCTGGATTTCTGGCACATGTGACTCGAACATTTGACCGTGCACATCATCTCAGGGGAGGAAAATGACTTTCCCTGAGATCTCGTGAGATTTCCCAGCAATACTCTGCTGATGACAAGGCAATCCCAGTGTGCATTGCTTTGGCAAACTGAAGTTATTTTGTCCATTCAAAGCAGGAAGTGAATGCTCTGCAAGTGTAACCATTTCATAATCAAAGCATTTTACACCTGACATGTCTATGTTATTCTTAATGATCACCCATAGAGGGATGTATTGGTAGAATTTGATTTTTACGTGAAAAAGGTCCGCTTTAATATATATAACAACTTTTAATTGTATATGTAACAGACTAAAAAGGGATGTAAGGGTGTTAATTCCTTAGCACAGTGCATATAGGAAGTACCTATACTCTCTGGTTCTTCCCCATGCCAGCTTAGATTCCAATGTCTCCCAGTTAAAATGAAACACGATTTGTTTTTGTTTTTTAAATTCACTTTTACGACGCAATTGTCTCCATTACTACAATTTAGATGATATGCTTAAAGCATAAAACTTTCACATCCACTGTTTTTGGCCTCAAATATGCTACTTGTAGAGGTAGATTGTATATACACATGTAGTATCCTCGTCTGCCAAGGGTAGAATTGATCTTCCACACTTGTCAGAAATGTTATGCTTCCAATTAGAATGAATTCTAAAAGCAATGTGTTATTGATCATAGTTATAAAAAAATATTTTTCCGTTACTAACTTTAGTAAGTTTATTACATTTAACACATCAACATGTAGCTGAAAATCTTTTTACACATTCCAGCATGAGGAGTATGAGAAAGTGATTATTGAAGACCGTCTGGAGAAGAAGAAAGCAGAGCAGCAGAAGAAACAGGAAAAAATGGAACTATCCAGTGCCATCAAGGTAATTATTCTAATATTCACCCCTATTTTATACAGAGAAGAATACATTTTTTATTGTGGTCAGTATTCTGCTGGATTGTACTACCTATGAAAACGAAGCAGTTCTCTTGAAAATGATTCTGGAATGTCTACATGCATATACAACTGTTCCAGAAATTGCTACTTTGTTATGGATCAATGTAAAAGTTATAGCAGTGTGAGTGATAGGATTATTCTTTTTTTTTTTTTTAGATTCAAGCTTGGTGGAAAGGTATTATGGTGCGTAAATGCCTGGGCCCTTACAAGAAAACCAAAAGCAAGAAAGGCAAAGAAAAGGGTAAAAAAGGCAAAGGAAAAAAGGGAGGAAAAAAGAAATAACTTCAAATAAAACGAATCAGACAAAAGAAACATTGAACAGTGATTTCATATTGGAGGTCATTTGAATAAACTATCCCCTTTGTTTGAACTGCTTCTCTTGACCCCATTTCTTGTGCAGCTCTTTTGCTTTGAACCATCAATAACCCCCAATTAAAAAAAAAAAAAAAAAAAAAAGAACATTTTATGTCAAAATCTGTGCCTAAAAAGGGAAACTCTACCAGGAGGAAATGTGAATGGAATACAAGTGTTGTATCCCATTGAGAAGTGCAAGCCTTCTGCCGCCGTGGCCGATAGGACTTGTACTTTCTCCATCCACGGATCCTGCCAGTACATAGCCAGAGAGCTGCAGGGAAGGAGGAAGGACTAGGTATACTACACATGCCCAAAGTTTTTAGATGTTTTCTTTGGGTGTGTGTAGCTTGCCCAAAGTTCATAACTGGGAAAAGAAAGTGAATGTGTAAAAATGACAGTTATCCTTTAAGTGACAGTTATTTAATGACAGACATAAAAGATGTATGGAAAGGTACACGTTTATTCAGATTTTCACATGTATCTCTCTGACAGAAAAAAAGAATATTAGACAACTTAAAAGAGGATCTACTACATGTACAGACACAAATATATACTTTTAACAGTCTCAAAATATGGAATGTATTTACAGAAATAAACAAAGAGTACAAAGCACTGTGAATTGTCTTGTTTACAGAATTTGATTTCCCATCCCACTTTGTCTATCTGTACACTTTTTTTGTATATTTCCCCCAAAGCTCTATTACAAATATAATTTAAAAGCCAAGCAAACCTGGTGAGGGTTCTAAGCTTTTCTTGTAATTCTAAATCAGTTGTATGCTACAAATAACAGACCAGAAGAACTAAGTACTGAGTGGGTCTGTGTTAAACAGTTCCACCATTGTTATTGCAAACAGCTGTCAGCCAGTTTCATGAACTGTATGTATTAGGACACTCATGTGTTTGCAGCAAATCTTCTCATGATGCAACTTGTCACGTTTCACTTCATGCTGCCGAGTTGTTTGGAAAAACCCAGTAATCAGCTAAATTCAATTGCTTGACTTGGCAACCACCAATAAACACAACATGGGAAACCATCTCATAGCAGAGCATTGCCACAAGGGCCAGGGCTTTGAACTCTCAATGTCAAAAGATAACAAAACTTGCATTATAAGTATTACATGTTTATATGAACTAGATTTATATACAGAGCACTAGGACAGTGCATCTTTCCAACAATACCAGCTACATTCCTGATAATGCAGAAGACTGGTATAAAAGCAATGTGTACAGTACTGCTGGACTAACGATGTAAAAACAAATCCTACACAGGTTTATTTAGGCATGCGTCTCACTTCAACCGCTTATTCTCCAGGTAGACATATGCTTGATTTATAAAGTTAGCCTGTCCTTCAATCAAGTGGCTTGGCCAATTTACAATTACCTGTCTGATTTTAGGTAATTGTATAATCATATATATGATTATATATAAAATCATCATCTCTGACTGATACCTGTGTACCTGAAAATATTGATCTCACATCAAAAAAAATCAAACTTATCTTCACCTTATAAATACTGGGTATTGTTGCTGCAAAGTGTCAGAAAATGTGTATGGGATCTCTGGAAATCCATGCAGGTGTTAGCGTTTGGCAAAACACAAAACCATAAGAATCCAATTTCAGTCTCCTGAATGTAATACGATCAATGTGAATTGTAATGGCCTAGCATTGATTACCGCACTTCCCATATTGCAGTATGTATGGATGAAAGACAATGAGAAAAAAAAGAAGAAAAAAACATTCCTGAAGTGGACATTCGGCAGAGAAGATTGCGCCATTTAGGGGGTTTGTCCATTCAAAGGACTGATTTTACTTATTGCAGCTGTAGGCCAGTCGTATATGGTTCTTGGTTAGAAATACAGCAACATGATCGTACTTTATGGCTCCTCTCAATGTAAATTAATTCATGTTAAGTAAAAATAAAATCATGTCTAGGTTACTTATCCAGTGAACCATTTTATGTCAGCATTCATTTAGTAAAGGTGCTGATTGCATTGCTTTCCTTGTAGATTGTTGCAATGATGCAACAAAGGTTTAACAATGCAGCACACTGGTTGTATGGTTTCCCATGTTGATACAAGAGACTGCTCTAATTTCAAAGATGCATCAATCAGAAGATATGTAGGAGTTTTTTCAATACATAAATCCCAACTCCAACAAAAAACACATTTAAAAAAAAAAAAAAATCTTTGAACAGAGTGCAGAATTGTTAAAACCTCCATCAGCTTTTTGAACTGATGTGTATCCTTGATGTAAAGATGCCCTGTCCTAATCATAACCTGTGTGACAAGGTGTCACTGGGACAGAAAGTGATAGGTAATGTTCCCAACAAGGACACACCAACATAAAAATGGCAGAGGTTCAAAAACTGTCCTATTCAACCCATAATAATAAAAAACTTGATTGTCATTGGACTTGAAGTATCACTGTTGCACTTGTTGTCTATACAGAAATGCCCCCATCACCTACACACAACCACTTCTTCATGCAGGATTTTGGGCCTCATGTGTGCCACAAGGTGCACATCGGATAGAAGATTCTCAACATTTGTTCAGGCCACAAAATGTGTGAATAGAGCAACAATCTACAAAAATACAACAGTGATACCTACAAAAATCATCAAGCTACCAGACTAGAAACCGTAAAATGAAATAAAACATTCACAGACATTCGGTGATGCAATTTCTCTTTGAACAGCATTTTGTATTAGGAAATCATGCAATAAAATTTGTATAAATGAATATAAAATGCAAATAAAACAATCATAAAAATCTGTATGGCTTGCAAGTGACAAGGCTGGGGGGGGGTTGCTGCAATATTCTCACACCCTGCAACTGGGTGAAAGGTTATACTGGGTGTATATACAGTGATTTGCATACATTCATATTTTTTGCAGCAAATAGGGAAATTCAAGATTGCCATCAAGTGGGGTCAGTATATGTACTTGACAGCTTTGATGTCTATTGGGTTTGGTGTGTTTTTTTTTTTGTTTTTTTTTTCATTTTTGTAGGTATTTTACAATGGAGATGAATCCTAATGGTTCACAAAATATATTACATCAGTATTTCTTCAAGAGTTTTTTTTACAAAAATGTTTCTCATTAAAATATTAATAGAATTTGCACAAAGGAAGACATTTGTATTATATAAGGGAATAGAGGTACAGGCCCTTTACTGTTAGAGGGAGGGCCAGGAACCAGCTATACATGGCCTCCCTTACAAGGAAATTGTATATGGAGTATGAATGTATGTTACACGTGTAGCCTTTATTAACTGTCAAAAATGATCTGCATACAAAATGATCTGCATTCATAAAGCTGTCAGGATGCTTTGGAGGATGTAACTAAACCAAAGACATATACAGCTGTCAGTTAAAACCACATGCAGAATGTCCGTACTACACCCAGTCATAGCATAACTACGCATCTTCACTGACAAAGAACAAATATTGTTACTGATCTGAATTACCAATCCAATAGAGAAAAGGATGACAGAGCCAGACTAACCTCATAATATGGGTAAACAATGCAGATTAAGGATGACCACCAATGCTTTTGGGGCCCTCTCTCTATGGTTCATAAAAAGAAAACAGAAATCAATGAGCAGTTTTTATATCAATATGCATTTGTAATGTGGTATAAATAACCTTATTGGAGTTGAAAGCTATAATTTTTAGATGGCTTTTGTGGTTATCTCCACAGGCTTCTTGAGTGAACATCTTACACACACAGATAGCCACCATCCTCATTAAAATATGGACCAGCAAGCCATTAAAAATGTTACCCGTTAATACATTTACAGTACCTCAGAAAACACTGTCACAGAAAATACTTTGGTGTTTTCTTCCCCATAGCTCCTAAACTGGATTGACCAATGCCTGAAATCTGAATCTATACATCCCTGTACAATGAAGTCTTATTTAAGAGCAATATATATGCAGCTAGAACAGCTTAGTTTATTGATAGGTCAGCAGAGCTGTATGTTTGCCCTGACAGCAGACAACGAATGAGGATTTCTCTGATTGTCCAAATGAATGACACCACCATCCCTCAAGAACCACTAGTTCCGAAATCTGCTTTCATGTTTGTCTTAAATAAAATATTCTACTCAGTGCTCATCATTCTAGGAAATATCAACTATATGTCATTACGGGAAGTTCAAAGAAAATACTACAGAACCGTTTAAGTGTTTCAGGGCACACTATAACATTTACCACAGCAGCCAAGTGTGGGATAATTGAGCAAAACTCCAGGTAAACTGCTAAAGACTCAACTGATACACGTAAACAACAACTGTTTACCAGCCAAAGGATTCAGAATTGTGTTCAGATAGTTTTCTGATCCAGGCACCAATGCTAGGCACAGCATGGCCTCCGATCCCAGTTTTCTCTACTGCAGTTAAGCAATACAGCTTGGTTATCAACCTGCATTCATCCTCTGATTGGACAATAAAAGAGTAGCAGCACACTAATGGCATCATCATCCTACTCTCTCCTCCCATAAACATGTCCAAACAGCCCATAGCACTGTGAAATAAAACAGAGCCCGAACTGGTTCGGATAAATGTCCCCCCACCCCCCCTTCTAGACTGGCATCAAGACTGATTCCATGATTACACCAGTCCTATGTGAAAATACATTTAAATACATAATTGAATTATATAGTATTACCTAACATTTACCTGGAGTTCTGCTTTAAACCATTCACAGAAGGCTGATTCTAGCAGACATACATTAAAGATTGTTAGACCTGTTTACCACCAGTAAGCACACAGCGAAATACACAAATGTCTATGCAACCAGTCTTGTGATCCAGCCATCCCTGACAGAAAGCATACCTAGGTCACAAACCTTTTTCTCTACTGTAGTTAAGCAGTGCAGCGTGGTCAAGAACCTGCCCCCATCCTACCACCACAATGCTAAGCAATCCTG